GGAGGAGTTGGGGTAGAAGCAGATCTAGTATCAAAGGTAGTAAAAGGGTCTTCACCTACCCCACTTGTTCATTTACTTTATTAAAAGTTGAACCAGATTCCTCCATATCCCCATGAGGAACATTTTCTAATAAAAAAAGGGTGGGGTCCACAACTGCATCATCAATCAAGTGCTTTACATATACCTCCACAATATCTCCATCTTCCAAAGAACAACTTAAGTCTAAAATATCCATATCATTATGAATATCTTCCAAAATACCACTGTTAGGAGGTTTAATACTAAACGTGCAAGTTGTTGTGTATCCTAATTCTTTAATGTAGCCTCTTAATTCAAAATAGGACAGTCTATCCACATCAACATCCAAAAACTCTGTAACTTGCCCACCACTGTAAACTAGTTGTCCACTACTCAAATCTAATACTCCACCATGATACCATCTTAAAGTAACCAAAGTAAATCCACTCATCTCCTACCTGAACAGAGGTAACACTAGTAAGGAATGAGAAACTCTACTTTTTGAGGTTGTACTTTACCAGTAAACTACAAGACTGTATAAATTCACGAAAACAAGTAAATAACTATTAAAATCCCTAATAAACTACATACTACGCCACACATATCAAAATAGCATTTGAATGCCAGTGCAACAAATGCCCTAAAAATCAACACTACCATCAAAACTAAAATCAAATATCAACATAACATTCAGTTGGTAAAGAATAACGTTCAATTAGAACTAACCCTAATAAACATTAAAAGGCCCTAAAAACCTCCACACTACAACACACCAGTCAAAATAGCATTTGAATACGCAGTAAAAATAAAACCCTAATCAAACACTAAATCAAAATAGTATTTAGCTAGTAAAGATCTAACCTTTTCTCAGAAGAAATAGTAAGTAAGCTTTCCGAGCAACGTCAATAATGGAAGATCGTAGAGAAAAGGAAGAAGAACTAGAGATTTAGGAAGAAGATCGTATAATTAATCTAAGGAAGAAGAATGAGGGTTAATTTGGTTCAAAGGTAAAGGTAAAGATTTATGACACGTGTCAATATGTGAGTTAAAGTCATGGGGTCCACTAATATATACGTGGACAGCGCGTGTATACAAACATTTTTTATAAATCTGGTTTATGTGGACACATCAGCGTCTGAGGGTGAAATAATATAAAAATAAAAAGGTTCAGGGGGGTAATAGGACCCCCGCAAAGGTTAAGTGTGTAGTTGGAAATATGACTAAAGCTTGAGGGGACATTTGACCCTTTTCTCAACAAATGGACAACAGAGAATATGATGAGCTGACGAGCTTAGTTGGTGATGTGCACTAAATATAGTTGCATGTTCTATGGTTATAGATGGAAGGGGAATTAATGTTATCTTCGATCAGGTCAAGTTTCTGTTGGGGGCTATTATACTTCTATTTTAATAATATAAAAACGATGCAACTATATACTCTACTCCATGTTACTGTTATAGAAGATGTGTGAGTTCCAATATAAAACATTTTTTTTATAATGCTTTTTTTGGTCAATTTTTTCTTTATAATGCTAAGAATAATAATTTTGGAAAAATATAAAAGAAAAGGAATGTTTGTCTTGCCGTATATAAATTCCTCGAATTTATTTCTTAGGGTAAAAATAATAGTATTTGAGGAAGAACAGTAGAAACTACAAAAGGATTAAGGTTATGGAAATTACACACATCACGTTATCACTTCCTTTAGAGAAACTTTAACCAAATAAGAAAACATTTACAAACATGTGGTGTTTGCTCCAAATTGGAATACAATATCGATGCATATGCCATTTGGATAAACTTTATGATTTAGTTAAGACTACGATATTTGCGATATGCTAGTACAATACTAATTTAGAAAACTTGAAGTATTTACAAAACCATTTAAAATTATAGCAATAATTAATGAACAAGGAAAGAGAAAAAAAATGTTACTCCTCCTTCCATTCATAGTATTTATTTTGTCATGTTTGATTTGACTTAACATATCAGTTAAGAGCAATAAATAAAATAATAATTTTATTCTATCCCCTCTTATAATTATTACAAATCATTTAAGTGTTTGGAAATAATTATTACAAGTCATTTACGTGTTTGGAAAGGATAAAATAAGTATAAGATGGTAAATTATTTTTTGTTTTTTTTTAAAAAAATAATTGATAAGTAAAAATGAATATTTATTTTTGACATAATGAATAAGTAAAAGTTGACGGAGAAAGTAATAATTGAAAAATGTAAAACGCTTAATTATGCACATCATAATTAGTAGGAATTTGTTACAATAATTTGTGGACCAACGGTATGTGATCTTCAAGGGTCTAGTTTATTATTATTGTTATTATTATTATTATAGAGGCTCTGTTAGGTTGAGACGTGTTAGTATTCATTTAAGTTTGGTTCACACTGTATTTAAATCATACTTGACCAAATAAGGAAATGCTACTCCCAAAAGTCATGCACATCTTTTTAGCATTAATATATACTAGTGACTTGGAAGTATACACCTTACACGCCTTCTTCTTTATTCGTAAGGACCTTTTTGAAAAAAATTAAATAAAATTGGTACACGATGGAAGACTTTATAAATATTGAACAAGAAATCTTAATGATATATATCACAATATTATATCTATACTATTATAGTATCATTGACTAATGAGTAATTTCTAAACAAGAAACTTTAATGATATCAATTCAATATATATATATACTGATTTAATATCAATTAAGTGAAAATGAATGGGGGTATGGACTGAATTTTTTTTAGAGAATGAATATTTCTTGAATTACTTTGGATTGGGGTAATTACTTTGGATTGGGGTATGAAATATGTAATTATTTTGGGTTTTATGGCCCATTTATGTAGTTATTCCTTAAAAATGAGGCATCCGTCTTAAGCCCCAAAATTTTCTGGCCCCTATTATTTTTTAGTAATAATAGAATATATATTCTATATAATGTTTAATAAAAATAAATAAATTATATTGTGTCTTTCTTTTAGTTCGTTTCGAAACATTAAATAATGTTTCTTTTTTTTGTCAGTTTTTTAATTTAACTTTCACATGACATGTTTAAGACCCCAAGATTAAAAAATACCATTAAAAAATAAAATTTTTTCACTAAAAAAACAAACTTTGAATTTCAAAAATTAAAAAATAAATAAAAGCTAAGCCTCTAACTTTTGATTTTAGGTCACTAATTAACTTGAGCCCGTCACGGATCATTTCCTCTTATTTAGTAGGAAGTTGGAACGGTATATAAGGAAGCTTATCAACGCAAAGTGTAAATTAAAATCCATCGTTATTGGATAATGTAAAAGGGAAACATTTGATTGTGCAATATTTTTTTGTTTTTTTTATAGAAACCAAACAGAATTAATTAATTAATTAATTAGAAAAACAACGTGGCAGATAAAGATATACATTCCTCAACATACACCTATACAGCTGGACAAGAATCATCATACTAATAACAATCTCAAATGATTCCCGCTCTCATGTTTATTATCAGAAACATAATCCCTTAATTTATGGGTTTGTTTATCTTTTAAACAACAACATAATCATTCAAATATGCTAAAATTGTAAAAATAATTTGTTATTCTTGAAATAAACAAAAATATTGTTATTATGACAATATTCTTCAAAAAAGTGGCGGAGTCATGTAACCATCCCAAATTCCCAATGTAAGCTAAAGTTGACAAAAATAAAGATATGACGAAAATAAGTATATGAAATACTTTCTCTGTTTGTCTGACTCGATTTGGCACAGAGTTCAAAGAAAAGAAAAGTAAAGAAGATACTATAGATACATAAAATATACTAAAATGTCTTACACCTTGAATCTTAAGAAGGACTTTAGACTAGTTTGAAATTAAACTCGATTCTGACTTTTGGTATTATATTCAGCATAATTACACAACTTATAGTGCTGAAGAAAATTCAGTACAAGATTGATTTGTAAAAAAATGGGGTGAAACGAGAATGGTGCATTTACATATGAAGAAAAGCTACATGATCATAAGCTAATGACTTGATTTTTGTACTTGATTAACAACTTTTAAGAATGTACATTAACATGTTCTATCGTCCTTGAGACAAGGATGCACTTAACTCATTAACAGAACATCTTTCGTTATCTTTTGCTGATCCTCCAAGATCCAAGTATGTTTCAAACTTAAATGTGGGTTGTTTAGGACTTGAGCATTTCATTTCACTGTTTAGTATGAGAATTATGTCAGCCATAGTAGGACGGTCCCTAGGATGCTCTTGAACACAGAGAAGGCCAACGTGTAGGCATCGCGTTATCTCTTCTGGAGAAAATGAGTTGATCAATGTCCCATCCATAAAGTCTAATCCCTTTTGTTCACTCCACAATTTCCATGCCTGCAATATCCATACACATGAGTACTGTTGTCATAAGGCTCAAGATATTTGATCAAAGACAGCGTTAGCCAAAGAGTGTGTACTAACATAATTGAGGAGGTTAAGATTTTCTTCAACATAATGGAAACTTGAATTCTTCTTGCCACTTATGATTTCTAATAACAAGACTCCGAAGCTGAAGACATCAGATTTCTCGGAGAATACTCCCCTCAAAGCATATTCAGGAGACATGTATCCACTGCACGCATTTGTCGCCCAAAAAATATTAGTGATAACTTTCAGAAAGTAAAATTGATACAGCAGTACAGACATATGGTTGCTTACTATGTTCCAGCTACTCGGTGAGTATGCACTAGTTGCTGCTGCTTTTGAAATGTCCTTGCTAAACCAAAGTCTGAAATTTTTGGATTCATCTCCTCATCCAAAAGGATATTGCTTACCTTCAAATCCCGGTGGATAATGTTCAAACAGGAATCTCGGTGTAAATATAATAGTCCTCTAGCAACACCTTGAATGATGTTGAACCGTTTAGGCCAATCTAGCAGTTCTTTTTGCGAAGCATCTGATCATTAATGTATAAACAGTTAATAAAGTATCACTCCCTTAGACAAGTTGTACATGATGGCAACTATATTTTCAGCCATTTAGGTGCACTTGTGTTTTAGGAAAATCTAGCAATGTGAAAGCTTTATACTGAGAAAAGAATTAGAAGAGAGGAAAACAGGAGCAGACATACCAAAGAGAGATTTATCCAAGCTTCTATTTGGCATGTATTCATATATTATAAGAAGTTCTTCCCCTTCAATGCAGCATCCCAGGAGTCGTACAAGATTCCTGTGCTGGAGTTTTGATATCAATACGATTTCATTCTTGAATTCCTCTATGCCTTGCCCCGTTCGATTAGAAAGTCTTTTCACTGCTATTTCTGGACCATCTTTTAGCTTTCCCTATGCAGAGTCCGCCAATTAAAAGTCCAATGATCAGAACACATATTTTACAGTTCATAATTTTGATTATCAAATCATATATAGTGCAAGTTCCATTACGGATTTGTGTTTATGTGGTCATATATTAGGTTAAGTATTTGAACAAAAGTGTAGTTACCTTGAAAACCGGACCAAATCCTCCTTCCCCGAGTTTGTTTTCTACTTTGAAGTTGTTTGTTGCTGTGACAATTACCTCAAATTCAATCAGCGGAAGTTCAATTGGATCTTCTTTCTTTAAATTACCAACCCATAAACTTTCCACTGTGTAGTCTTTTGAAATGTAGCATGAATCACCCAGACTAAAGCTTCTGGCTACTTTTCTCTTCTGTCCTGTTAAGACGAAGTAAATAACATAAAGATAAGGCTAGACGTCCGTTGTGTCAACAAAACCATTAAGGTAGTTTGATTTGTCATAAGTATTTTTCAACTTGTTCGCTTTAGGGAGGGACATCTATCATTACCTGTTATATAAATCTTGTGCTTGAGCAAACAAAATAGAGCAAACCCCAAAAAGAGACAAGAAAATACTGCAGAACATATGATTAGTGCTCTTTTACGCTTCCTCTTACCTGAAAAAACTGAAAAAAACATTTTAGTAAACTACTGCAGTAGATGGATTACATAGTAAAGTTAGTGTAAACCAAATTCATGTAGTAGTTACCTAACTCTGAGTAGGCAAGTCGAAGGAAAAGATCTTCCCCGGAGTATGAGTAATCCTGCATATCTAAAAGATCACCAGACCACACCATACACCTAATTCCTGCCACATAAGCATAAGCAGTGCAAGAACAATTGTTTAAGCACAATTTTTCACATTCACTTGCACTGTCAAGGCGAAAAATAGCAGCAAGATCAGGCAGTTTCAGTCCACTAAGCTTAAAAAATCTGTCCTGCAGTCCAACCCCTGGAGACAAGCTATTTCCCTTTTGCTGACATAGTAATTCAGTTCGTCTCACACAACCACCTGTCCAGTTTCCTTTGCTCCATTCATCACTAGAGTGTGGCACGAACCCTCTTAAGCAGCTGCAAGTTGGGAAGTTATGCTTGCTGCAGACTGCTGAAGGTCCACATGTGTTATATATATCACATGGTGCATGTACCATTGTAGCATAAATTTCCCAAGCTGGAGCTCCACTGGTCCACTGAACCACTTGAACAGACCCCGTAGACTGAAGTTCCACGAAAGTTAGGAATGAAGTATTTGGAAGAAAGGTGAAATATGTGGTTCCCTCTTGAAAGTCTTGCTGAAAAACAAATTGAATTATATAGGCAGCTGAATCTATACAAGGCAAACCAATGAACTTCAGTCCATTCCACTCCCCGGTTCTGTAGTAAGGAGTAACTTTGTTCCATATAAAAAACTGAGGAGAAAGTTGCTCCGAGATTCCTATAGAAAAATTTCCGAGTGAGGGGTCATTTTCCTTCTGCCAAGAAGACAAGAGCCATTTCTCCCCGGTTTTACTGTTAAAACCTATTTTCATTCCTGGCAAAAAAGTATCACAAGGATAATCGAAACTTTCCCAGAAGGATTGTCCCGAGACATTATCTTTAAGCACTAAATTCCCACTGTCCAGGAGAACTACTGCAACAGTGTTATTAGTAGGGACAGACACATTACTTGACCAGATAACAGTCTGTGTTCCATCAAGAAGCACCAAGTTTCCATATTCGCTAATTGATAGACTCACAGCGGAATCAGAAACTTTAAGTGGACTTTCTCTGTTTGCAACCCACACAACTTTAATAGGAGGGATATTTTTAAACCATATCCCCAGGTACCTTTCATCGGAATTCGCTGGAGTAAAGAATCCAAATTCAAAAACTTGACTAGCAGATGTTAATGTTTCCCCTACTAAAAGTTTCCAGGATTGCTGAATGGTGTCTGATGCATTACAGTAATCTGTTTGAATGATATAACAAGAAATAATAGAGATCAAAAGAATTTTCCAGGCTTGTCTGAATCCCATTTTCTTAAATGGACTTGTATCATAACAAACATCAAGGAACAATTAAAAGAGTCACCGCGCAACTTTCAATAACCAAATAAAGGGAGTAGAAACAAGAATGAACATAGTTGGAATTCTCCAAGTAATTCAAACTTGGTGACAAGATATCTCTTAGAAATGTATCAGGTCTATTAGAATGTCCAAAAAACTATTCAGAACATTTTTGGACAATGATTTGTTTTTTTGTTTTTTCCTTTCTCTAATATAATATGTTAGATGTTTGAAGCCAAATTTATCTGAGCCTATGCAGGATTGGGAGTAAAGACACTATAACTTGTCTTACTTGATCTGAGGTTATTTGGACTAAAGATCACTAAAGTCCACATCTGGGAATAAAGATGTTATCTTCAAAACAATAATTAAGAAGAAGAAAAAAAAGGAACTTGATATACTTGTTTTCTTCTTAAAAAGAATAGTCAGATTCGGTATGAAAATTAACTTGCTTAATTTTTATGGGATTTGGAAACCAGGGTATCAATATTTTCTTTTTGAAGATTAATATAATTAAAATGAAAAGGTATCATATAAATTCGTACGGGCGGTAAACATTTGAAAGAATTGTTTGATTCTCTTTAACGTGTTTGGGAATAACACACCTCTCTTCAGAAAAATATCTAACGATAAAAATTAAAGATTACTTTCCACTATATCCTTTTGATCACTCCTAACTATTCTTTTAGAATATGTCAAGTAATTATGAGTCCAACAATTCTCTTAAACTCTAATTTGGTTTTACTTATTTTGAATTATGAAAAAAATCCTGAACAAATACTATCCATTGTTTGGTAGGCATACTTACAGTTCTAACTTCCGGGGTTTGGTCAGATAGGACCGGATCTGATTATAGCTTCGAGTTTAGGTACCATACTGCAACTGGATGGTGAAGGAGGGGCACAATAAACCTCCTGGCAAGAGGCCAAGGTTGCTTGCTAACTCTGAGTCACTTGTTGGAAGTGCAGCTTGAATGGGGGATATTTTATTGATCTTTTAATCGATCTCTCCAAATTTCCAGAGCCAACGGTACTACACGAAGCACCATTAACCAATTTTAAGCAATTGAGCCGTATTCTGCTGGGATCCGTGGAAAAGAGGAGAATCGAGCAGTAAAACGAAAAGGGTTTCTCTGGGTTTTAGTGTTGAAATTGGGGGTTTTCCTTTCTGCTTTGGCCGCCACATTATTTGAAGCACCCATTCATGTAAGGGACAAGCTATGTGCTAATAATACACGTTTGCCAAAGGTAAAAATGTTAAATTGTCTGTTTCTGTTCTGATACCAGTAATTGTCAATTCTTCCTTTGAAGAGAATCCTTCCTATCATGAATATTCTTTTACCAAATCCCAAGTTATAGTCTGCCTGGAGTGAAGATACCTGATATCAAATATGACTTTAGTCTAGTGGGAACAGGGCAGTGAGCACTGGAGATGACAACATTATCCATCGAGTTTCGAACAGTGCACTATTTGGCCAAGCTGAGACAAAGTTCTGATTTTTGGAAGGTATGACTTGTTTATCACAAAGTTTTAATATAAGGTCTCCCTTTTTGGTTATGCCTTAATCTATTATTGTTTCTTTTTTGCCAACTTTAGAGCAGCCACAGCAACTCCAGGAATTCAACTATTTAGGCTTTTTTATCCCTTTTGACAAAAGTTCCCATGTTTCTCTGGTATGTCCTTCCATTAATTTCTTTTCCTTAGAGGAGTTGGTGAAATGTATGTCCTTAAAATTGTAGAATTTGACATTATCTTTGTGTCATATATATTATAAGAAAGGCTACTGTTTGTTTGTTCTTGTTTATTGTTGACGGAGCGTGAAGTTGTTTGGAATCTACAAGCTAAAAGCTTGGGAGATCACCAGTAGATCCAATTTGGAATCTACAATCCTACTGATTTTGATTAATTGAAATCCACATCTCCATATTTAATGTTCTTTTTGAGAAATGGGAGAGTAGATCACAAGATAGCTAATCAAACTCAGACCCACAGGGTGAATGTTTGAGCAGCCCCCTTGTTTGATGGTGAAGTTTGAATTTGATAAAGTTCACCTCTGTATGGATCTACAAGAGGGTATAAGGTAGAATAGGTCGTTCCCTTTTTATATATAAGAAAATAATTTTATGAACACTCAAGAGTTGAAGATTTCTTCCATATTTGAGTTACATGCAACAAGTCAACCACCACTAAATTGACACTGATTAATTACATAGTAAATAATTCCATTTCCCCTTCTGTCTCAAAGGGAACACAAGCTGATCTCCCTACAGATAGTTCAAGTTATGCAGAACCTGGTAATAACTATTGCTTGTGCTTCAATGGACAAAATACTAGTTCTCAAGCTTTAGAAGAACTGCAAAATGGTTTCTTGAAGTGATAGGAGATAACAAGCATGTAATTCTGTTCCTTGATTATACAGTGATATATACGGACCGATTGAAATGCTTGATTTATGTGGTTTGCGAGCTATTGCATAGGAGCAGGGGTTTTACCTGTGCGCACCCAAAGGGTAGCGGCTGCGGGTTTCCTTTGTCATAAAAAAAAAAAAACTAGATATGACAAGTGGGGTTTGCTCGATTGGTGGAGCATCTCCATCTACAAACAGTAAAGAAAAAAACTTCAGCCATACTAATTGAACAAGGTTGTGACATATCTCTCTTTCAGCTTTGAGAGCTGAACCACCTTCTAATTACAATACACATGATGTGCTAAAGTGTACCTAGCTAACAAAAAATTATGAACATAGTTCCAAGTATAACTTGGCATAGTTACACTACTTGATCCCATTCTCTTAAATGAAGCAGGTATGTTAGAAGGAACAAGCATTAACCAATCATCTACCTATTAGTACACTAACTGTGACATTGTTGGAAGATGTTACATCCTGATTCCCATGCCATATATCTTCATCCACAGATCTTCTCATTGAAGTATAGGTAGGTTGCCTAGGCAAGGGCAACCTTACATTGTCTGTTTCCAGCATCAAAACCACAGAAGACATGTTTGGTCTGTGAGCCGCCAAATCTTGAACACAAAGCAATGCCAAGTGTATACATCTCAATGCTTCATTGTGTTGACAACCATCCCAAATTGAACGATCCACCAGGTCCATTGGTCTACCTTCTTCCCACTTCTCCCATGCCTGAAATATTTTCCACCAGAAAAATATGAGAAAGATGACCACTCCGTCATAGCTCATCACACAAGAAATTAGCCCCATTATTTAGACAGCTTGTTCTTGACTAAAATGATTGAAATAGGTGGAGAAATTAGTCAGACTTACATATCCAATGATGCCTGAATGCTCATCTGTCCGAAAGCTTGTATTTCTACGTCCACATATAATTTCAAGCAATATTATGCCGAAGCTGTAGACATCAGACTTGCCAGAGAACAGGCCCTCCATAGCATACTCAGGAGCCATATATCCACTGTTGTTTAGCAACAAGGTACAAAATGAAATGGATTTAGCTCCAGGAACAAGAAATTTTGAAATTAGTCTCTTAAAAGATTTAAAATCAAATGATACTTACTATGTTCCTACGACCCTATTTGTATTTGCTTCATTTTGGTTTCCTCCAAATATTCTGGCCATGCCAAAGTCTGAAATTTTTGGGGTCATCTCTTCATCCAACAGAATGTTACTAGCCTTTAGATCCCTATGGATTATTCTAAGCCTTGAATCTCTATGGAGATACAGTAATCCTCGGGCAATTCCTTCGATAATGTTGAAGCGTTTTCTCCAGTCTAACTGGGATTTCCTAACAGTATCTGTCAAAGTTTAACAGCCAATACAGTTGTTAGTGTCTATCTCAATGAGATGTGTTGCTATAGTACATCTGTGGGAGCAGCAGAAATTATTTTGATAGAATTTCCTGAACTTACCAAATAGAAATGTATCTAAGCTTTTGTTGGGCATGTACTCGTAAATCAGCATTTTTTCTTCTCCTTCAACACAGCAACCCAAAAGTCTAACAAGATTTCTGTGTTGCAATTTTGCTATTAGAGTGATCTCATTCTTGAACTCCTCATCGCCTTGTCCAGACTTTTGTGAAAGCCTTTTTACAGCAACTTCTTGACCACAAGGTAGCTTTCCCTAAAGATTTGAAAAACATCAACTTTAGTCCAAAACATGGCCATATACTTCCTAAAGGAACAGAATAATCTATCAAGATTGAAAATTTACCTTATAAACGGGGCCAAATCCCCCTTGCCCAAGCTTGTTTGCAAGAGAGAAGTCGTCAGTAGCTGTGGCCACCATGCTGAAGCTGAAAAATGCTAATTCTGAACCATTTCCTTGATGCCCTTCAGCACTGATGTCGCCTGGTCCAGAATATTCCGTGGAGAACTCTCCACTCCTAACTAAATGGTTTTTGGGAATTTCACTGGTCCTCTTGGATTCTGAAAATTGCAAGTCAAAGGTATAAGTACAATATGGAACATATAATAAATGCAACTAACAAGTCAGAAATGTTACTGCATCAAAATTTACCTCGTTTTCTGGCCCTGTACTTGCATACTAGCCAAATGGCCACCATAACAACCAAAGCCAGAGCTGCTAGAATTGATATTACAACAATTATGATCGTCTTCTTTTTTTTACCTGTTTCAAAAGATATTCAAAGGAGAAATCAAGAAATTAGAAAGGCTAATCATTCTTCAAACACAAGGAAGAAAAAGATATATTGCTTGTTGTTTGAGCTTGCTACAAATAAAGAGTAAAGACAAACAAGAAATTGATCTTTGTACTAAAAGACAAACTACTTTGGTTTTAGATTTGTATAATTGCACGAATGAGAAGAAAACTGGTAAGAGATTTATGAATTCAGCAGAAAGTATTGTGCTTACCGATATCTGAAGGATGAAGACGAACATAAAGAGTGTTCCCACCTTCCTGAAAATGCTCTATATCAACTAAATCATTACGCCACATCATACAATTGATTCCTCTGACATAAGCATAAGCATTGCAGGAACAATCATTCAGGCACCTGATTTTGCACTCGTCTATGGTTATTTCTGAAACATTAGCATGGTCAGGTAATTTAACTCTCCGAATAGTCGAGAATCCATCATCTTTTGAACTATCATTCCTTGAAACACTGCTATTTCTCCTGCATTCCAATTCTGTCTTCCTAACACATCCTTCGGTTCGGTTCCCAGCATGCCACTGCTCCTGAACACGTGGTACAAAACCTTTTAAACATTGGCATACATCTTTGTCACATTCTGCAAAATTCCCACAGAAGTTATACAAGTCACAACCACCTACAGGCCTAGATTGCAACGTGTTCCATTCACCCTGGTCTTCGTTCCACCTCTGTTGCAGCTCATTTCCAGTCACAGTAATCTGAAACCTCACAAAAGAAGATGTATTTGAGGCACTGTAAGTGAGTAACAATTTATTGTCTCCTTCGTTTTGAATTCTGAAGCCAGAGAAAAAAGTAGTTCTAATCACATCTGGAACACCAATGAATTCCGCTCCATCAAAATGTCCACTCCTCCATCGTCTATTCGGTCCATCCCAAATAACAATCTGAGGTGTTCCACGAGGATCAACTCCCATTGAGTACCTCCCAGGTGAAGGGTCACTCTCATTTGTCCAAGAACGGAAAACTTTTTGCTCTTGGCCTTGTCTTTCTATGAGAACTTCCATTCCAGGCAAAAATGTATCTGTAGGATCCGAGAAGCTCTCCCACAATTCAGAATTTAACCTCGTAGCATTCCTGTCATTATTAAGGATGACAAGATTGCCCTCGTCTCTCAGACAAGCCGTAGAATTTGTGGTTTTAACAGAAACATTAGACGACCATAGTAAATCCCCATGTCCATCTTTAACCACCAAATTCCCATTTTCATTAATTGAAAAGGTACCATTTTTATCATGAACAGGATTGTTCCTGTTGGCAACCCAAATATATGTCTTTACTGGTACGTCAACATACCATATACCAAGATACCTTTTACTGGTATTTGCAGGACTAAAGAACCCCAACACAAAATCCCCTCCTTTAGAAGTGATGTTATCACCATCTTTATAAATCTCTCCTCGCGTAACTCTGTCACCACCTAAACAGAATGAGGAGAAACAAGAAAGAATGAAAAGAAATAAGAACCAAAAGGGGGGAAATCTAAAGCCAGTGGCCATTCAAGAATTTGGAAATGGAAATGATGATGCCACAATTCAAGAATGGAGAAAATTGGGAATTTTACAAAGGAGAATGGTAAAGGGTATAGAAAACAAAAAGAAAGAAGAAGGTTCTGATGAGGCGCGGATTAGATGGCTAAGTAAGAATAATCTAACAAGTTGATGAGAAAGATTGACCTGAAGAAGGTTGTCTTGTCTGCATATGTAGTTGAAGATTCTTTAGGCTGACCAGCCACCTTACTCTGCCCCACTAGTCAATTTCTGCTTTTTGTGTGAAGGGGAGTAGAAATGCCTTGATTTCAATAATATAGACTCCACTAGGAGTCTAGGTCTATTAGTGGATCTCAAAAGATTTACATAATAAAATCATTATATTAATTATTTATTTTGTCCTGTTAGATTTTTAATTTATATTGAGATATTGTTATTGAAATAAAATAAAGTTAAATGATGCTTTTACATAATTTCTCATAATTGAGTGATCTTTTGAAATATTTTTTTGTTTGAATGCTAAATCACATTTTATTTGAACTAAAGACATATCTGATATATCAAAATCTCCTTTGAATTATGTAGTCTAAAGACATGTTTGGTAAAATATTGTTATTTAAAAATGTTTATGCCCTTTAATATGGTTTTAACTGACATTTATGTCCTCTAACTTTGAGTGTGCACAAATATACACTTAAATTTCTTTAAAACTGAACGATTATACACATTTGTCCTAATACGCGGCATCCTACATGATAATTTTTGTTCCTCTGTGTATTATGTCACGTAGAACACGTGTGTTTACTTGTTTAATTTTATACAAATTTAAATATCTATTTGTGCAGACACAAAATTAGAGGACATAAATGTCAATTGATACTTGAAGCCAAGATAAAGGGTATTTTTATGTATTACGCCTTAAAAATGGTATAGAATGAAACATTAATGCAACTTATAAGTCAAACAATGTAAAATGATTTTTTGTACTGTGAATTGCTAGTAACGGGAAAAAATAAATGTGTACAACTTATAGAATTCGTAGGTTCCCCTTTTTAAGGAGAACTAATTGAGAGAAAATAAGTTGTTGCAGGGAATGAATCACATTTTACAGCATATATGTTTTGTTTGCAAGTTGCAGCAGAATATAGCTCTTTGGTCAAATGGACCTCTTTTATCATGTCTACAACTTTGGTGCTATTATGGTAATTTTTCCATTTTGAAACTAACAATTTGATTACATTAAACTACAATTTCCTTAGTTCTAAATAATGTTGTGTCCCTTTTATTTTAGGTCCAAAGAAATTTTCCTTTTCTTTTAAGGATAATAATTGCTCTTTAGTCTTTCGATTGTCGATGAATTCTGATTTTGATCCTTATAATATTTGACTAAGTAATATATCACCTTCAATTAACTGAAATATATATTTTTCACTCATTTATATAGGAAATATTAATTTTAGATTATCTCTAAAATTAAATAGTACATCGATAATTGAATGTTTTAGCGCATGATAATTTGTTAAAGTTTCGAAGATTTCAAATTTAATAATACTTCGATAATTGAATGTTTTAGCACATAATAATTTGTTAAAATTATGAAACATTTATAATAAGAGGGATCAAAAACACACATGTCAATTAACTAAACATTACATACGTTTTACCAAAATCAAAATTTGTCAATATTTGAAAGTGTGATTTCCCTTTTTCTTAAAGTATAGATCTTTTGGGCAGTGCAGAGGGATGGCTTTGTCACTTCTGGTTTCGGGGAAAAAAATAATTACTGTAATTCAAATAGAGTTTGTTATAACTTATAAGTTGAACTGTTTTTCTATGAAAGTGCTCTATCTTAAATTATTTATAGTGATTTTTAAAAATAGTTATCTTATATTTCCTTAGTCTCATATCATATTATTAAATTATCCCAAATTACTTATTAATTTACAAATAATTATAAAATTAATTATTTTTTTCTCATTTTACCCTTACAATTATATCTTTTTAAAAATGTAAATAAATTCGTGAAGTTTCAAAAAAAATTATCCAAGGTAAATTAGTAGAACTGCCATTTTTATTATAATTTCTTAAGGGACATGTAAAGGAGAAAATGGGGACCGTATGTAATTTTAGAAGTTCAAGATAAGTTTTTTTCATTTTTTTATATTACTGTTGGTAGTAATTATTCTTGAAGATTACAAACACCTCAAAAAAAAGGTACATACATAGAGTAAGGGTAAAAACAGTCACAAAACTCCTCCTAATTAATATTTTTTTTAGCAGACGTATAAAAAAGAAAATACCGATAAACAATTTGATTCTTAGCTTGCGCACATTTCTAAAGAAATTCAGTCACCCCTAAAAATATAAGAGATATTTTCACTAAATTATTTTTAGTTAAATAGTATCTACGTAATATGATTTTTTTTAATTATATATAAATATATAATCCACTTATTTAAATACATGTAAAGTTAAAAAGGGAATAAATAAAAGAACTTAATTATGTAAAAAATTGTCTATATTGGACCAAATATAAACACTAGTTATATCTTACAATTTAATTTAATTTTAATAAAATACCATATAATATGAACGGAAGAAAGTATTATTTTGAGGTGAAGAGTCAATTTTGCTTAGATAAAAAAGAAGTGTTATTTAATGTTTGTTATCTAACAAACATGTGTTTGTTATCTAACAAACATGTCCAAGTTTAGATAATCAGATTGTGTGAATCTGCTGCTCAGTTTAAGAATTAGTATTTTCTTCTTGTTCGTTACTGATTGCAAATGTGTTTTTTTTCTTTTTTATGTGAGACATTGTGTTCCAATCGAATAACTTAAACCATTATTCTTCAAATATTCACACCGTTCGTCTTTACTTATTTATATTTGACTTCAACATTTTTTTTTAAATAATAAATAAAATGATAATTATATTTTGTTATTTCTAACTATTATAATTAATCATCTAAATATTGAGAAATGTATAAAGTAAAAATTATTTTGCCATTTAAAAAAAAGTTAAATATCTATTTTAACACTGATTTAATAAATAAGTAAAAGTGAACGTAAGAAGTAATAATCATACTATTTCTTCTCTTTTTCCCCCCTTCCTTTGTGCTCAAATGTCCACAATATCTGCATCAACAAACCCGTGTATTCATATTGATTAATTTCCAACTAATTGTCTTTTAGGTGAGTTGCAATGTTCTAGAGTATACCCCGAAATGACATAATCCCTCTTTCATTTCATATAATGTTATTTAACTTGTATGGGATTAAGAAATAAATTTAAAACATTATGTATAATTTATAAATTAAATTTATATAATATATAGAATGTATTCTTAAAATCTTGCAAGTATTATATCAACATATCATTTCTACAAGAGCAAATAACTAGTGATAAAAACATGTCAACCTTTAATTTATTTATTTTTTTGGTAAGTTAGTATTTTATTATCAAAGAGAGGTTTACAGCTAAAAAAAGAGAAAAAAAAACAAAAAAAATCATTCAACGTTTAATTATTTAAATGAGCAAAAATGAAAGAATGGAGGGGGTCATTATTGGATGTTTTAATAACGCAATCTTTTATGCAACAATTTTTTCCTCTTACATTTAATTTGTAAGAACTCACACCATAAAAATCAATTATGATATATACATGCTAGTCAAATTGGTGAATTCAACACCATGCAAAACACGAGCTAAGAATGTCGGTTGAAAACCTTTCAACGAAAAAATTATGTAAGCAGAAGAAAGTCACCACATTGGTTAGCAAGGGTTCGAGGAGTGATTCATCGTCTCTTTGTTTTGTTTTTTGCTTAATATATAATTGTTAGGATGAATCACATGAGGGAGAAATATGAAATCATTGAGCAAATTTAAATTTGGATAGGATTTTGATTCATATCATTTGGATAGACTCAAATTTTTTAAGAGTCTTTGATTCGAGAATATTTGCATTGTCAATTCTTCCTCTTAGCTTGTTTTTTTTTTGTTTTAGATATTGAAATAATCATGTAAAGCATAGGCTAGACAAGCAATACACTGAACATAATCCAATCATAAAAAACAGTTTATTTTTTTATATAACTTCAATTTCATAATTAAGAAACATGATAAAAAAGGAGGGTAAAACTAGTTTAATCAATAAATCCATATGTATGTACTGTGTACATATTTGTAAAAACGTTTAATGAAATTTTTGATTTCGCAATAAATTCCGTTTCTGTATATATATACTTTTTTGATGACTCAAAAACTTCCTCAAAAGAATTTCTTTATTTTTTGGAGAATTAATAAACATTTTTTCTTTTGACGTCTTGGTCTTAAAACACTACTCCGTTTTATATTAGTTGATCATTATATTAAAAATAGTTGTCCCATATTAGTCGTCCGTCTTACCTAATCAAGAAAACATTAAACAAAATTTTTCTGTATTACCCTTGCAATGAATTCTTTTTGAAAGTGTTCACATTTTTTTTGTAAAATCCCCCAAAAAAAAATTAAGAGGTGAGTGAATTAGTAAAATTTTCTTCTTATTTATTATTTATTTAGCACAGTACAAAATGAAAAGTAATCAACTAATATGAGAAAAAGAGAGTAATAACTACTCCCTCTGATTTATTTTACTTAGTCGTGGTTTTTTTTTAAAAACATCTTTAAAAGATATTACAAATAGAATTAAATTTAACTAAATCAATCTTCTTCTTTTTTTAATATCAATTTAGATTATTTTTTCTTCCACTACATTTATCTCTTTCTATATTTAGTAGAACAAGAATATATTAAAAAATAATTAATTTTATCTTAAAATTTTAAAATAATAAATATTTTAAACAAATTTATTTAATAATAGTAACAATTAAAATAACTCGAAGGGGATAGAGTCCGTTTACTCTTCCTTATCCTTTGGTAAACCTGATATTTCTCTATATTTTCTGGATTATTCGATACATAATTCTTCTTTTAATGTGGTCCTAAAACACTAATTAACCACCCCCCCCCCCCCCTCTCTTC